GGTGAGCAATAATGTGATATTTCATTCTGATCATGCAATTATGAAATTCTAACAAGCATTCTCTGGCTACTACATCACTATCTACATGTTTCCTGGTTTAAGATTAAAACAGAAGTAAAGATGGACAAAGAAAAGACAATAAAGAAAGAATTCGATCAAATCCTAAAGTTTAATTCTACAAGAGTTAAAAGAAAATCATTACACTTATGGAGCATCTGCAAAAGCTGCATTGAGGACGTCATCCTCACGGCTGATCATGAAGATATCTGCATCCTTTTCTTCCTCATTGGAGAAATCCCTCCTGCCAAGTTTTGAATGAGCTGCAAAGAATATCATCTTCTGGGCTCTTTCAAGGCCCATCCGTGAGTGTCGGTGGACACTAATCCACTTCATCAAAGACCAGTTATGTTTAAACCCGCTTGATGTTGCGTGCAGGAAGATAAGCCTCACTGCAACCTTTCCTAATGATTTGTATTCGCTGAGACATGTTTCCCAAACCAGCCTACTGCTCTGCGGGTTAGCAATTTTCATTTTTCCAGTCACGGAGTCTCGCTATTTAACCTGAACAGCTTGGGCATATAGTGGCTCTAACCCTTCTGATCTCCATTTCATGAGCTCCATCAGTGCAACATGTGCTTCTTCCTTGGTAACCAAACGAGTGATGAGCTCATCAACATCCTTCTCCTGCTCATGAGTCAAAAACTTGAAGGGTGGAAGGTATTTTCCGCTGGTATCCCGTATCAAGTAAAGTGGATCAAGTATAAATGCAGCTGACCATGCAGGGTGGTAGTTCTTTCTAAATCTCTTTTCAACAATTTTCTCAACGGAAGCTTCAGCAACGTTGAACTTGGTACACCATTCCTTCACTTTGACCCTCAACTCCTCCCAAAGAGGGAGGCATTGCCCAATCAATGGCCTTTCCATCTCAATCTCATGAGCCATACCTTTGATCAACTTCACCAGCGCATAAACTGCTCCTAAATCATTCCAAAACCCTTCATTTTGGACAATCCCGGTAAATTCCCTTGCGACGTGATCTTCAATACAGATCCCCTTGTAAGAATCATCCAATACGACCATCTGAAGCACTTGCGAACAGCTCAATATGTCCTCCATCATTGCAAAAACATGTGCAATATTACTGCTACAGTGACATTTGTTTAAAGGAACACGTATCAACCCAGCAAACTCAAGCTCCTGCATACTATACTTTTGAAACCTGCTTCTATCTTGCAAGTTATTGTTAACAAAACTCGCTATCTTTAAGGAATTCTCGATGACGGTCCTGAAAAGGGGAAGCTCTTTGCTAAAGTCCTTTATCAAACTAATAAAACCTTGAAGCTGACAAGATACATTAACCATCCAATGATTCTGGTTGTCCAAATTCCTCAACGCCTTCACCTTATGATCCGAAACCATCCCTACACATTTCTGAATACCACTTCCGGATATCCCCATTACCGTCTCCCACAAGACCTCCTCAGCCTGCTTGGAAGTGACCAATTCACCGATAAAGACCACCTTCTGGTACAAGCTGCTCCCATTTGGAAGATTAACACTAAATTTAACAAAATTCTCCACACAACCAGAGCTGCTAGTAGTACTAGTATAACTACTGCAACCACAACAACTTTTACCTTTCCACCCATCAGAAGCAACTTGGAAGTACATTGCATCCCTAATTCTAGCCTCGGATTCGCTCTTCGCCGCGTGGAACTTATTATCGAGCCGAGCGCCCGAAAGGTCCCTTCTCGAAATAGCCGGCATCCCAATCTGGTTAAGGAAAGCCCAAACTTTGGATGCTTGAGGCTAGAAAAGGAAACCGAGCCACAAGACTCATAGAACCACTCAACTAATAAATCAAGTGCAGAATCTATATGACCCTTGCTTAAAGCTGGTCCTGGAGAAATTTTAGGACTCTTAAGCTTCTTAACACTATCTTCCAACATTGCCAAGGCACCCAAATCTTCTCTTCCACCAGATAAGACCAAATGATGCTGATTCAACCCAGCATTGTTGTTGTTATTACTATGGCTAGAGTAACCCAGAAAACGAGTGGACTCGACTATAGCCAACGAGTTGCTATTACTATTATTATTATTAGCATCGTTACCATTATTACTAACTTGGTTATGTAAAACAGAGATAGCCGCCGCCGGTGGACTTCGCTTTCGATGATTATGATGATACGAAACAGAAGAAGGGGAAGCCAACGAAGAAATAGGCAACGGAGACAACGACGAACAGGGTTCCAGACCGGAGCTAAAATTGGGGCAGGTGCCACGTTTCAAGTGCTCGGAAGCGGTCCGTGACGGGTTCGAGGCGGAGAAAACGGCGTCACAGAGGGAACACCTGAGTTAACGGCTTTGGGGATGCTGCTCTCCGGGTTCCGAACGAGGATCGGTTCGAGGTGAGCCCAGTACCAAGCTCCCTTGCCCTTGGTGGCCTTGGTTCGAACCGTGACGAGGCCTTGGTATCGTTTGTTGAGAGCTTTGGCAGCTGGTTCTTCCGTGGAAGAAGATGAAGGGTCAGTTGGAGGCAGAGAGATAGTGGAAGCCATGGGAGAGTTATATATATATATGATAAGGTGGTGTATTGGTGTCAGTTAAAGGTGGTGGTGGAAAGTGAAGACATGGCTGAAGAAGGACAGAAACGAAGGGGTATATATGCAGAAATTAAGAGGAAATGAGAGGGTCTGTGCCTATGATTTTAGTTCTGATGTCAAACCATTCATCAAATCATTATTTTATATTTTTACGCACTTTGTTTCTAAAATTATATGTCTTTTGTCCTTTGTGTTGCGCAAAGTGAGGATGGTGAACCAAAAGTACTTTTTTCCACGTGGTTTTTCATTATCAAGGGTGGAAGAATCATTAATTAATGTGTTTATATATGCACATGTTTTTTGTTTGATCAAATTCCTTTTTGTATGGTGAAAATCCAACCACTGGATCTGATATTTCATTATATTAAATAGTACTTTGGACTGCCTTAATCTCTACGTTATTTAAGTTTGAAAAATAGGAAAAAAGGGGATAAAGAGGCCCCAAAAGCTCTGTTTTGAAAATTAGACCGGTCGGTTTAATCGGGAATCGTTGTTTAATCTGGTTCAATCTAAATCGGTTGAACCGTATTAGTAAACCGGTCAGAACCGTTGAACCGTTCGAACCGGACCGGCTGAAAACTGGAAAAAACCGAAAAATATAGAAAACCGAAAAAAATATGGAAAAACCGGGATTTTTGTTTTTTTAAAAAAAAATTAAACCAAACAACGTCGTTTGTTAAACGAGCCAAGTCGAACTCGAGTATTGCTGAGCTCGACTCGAACTTGAAAACTTTAAAAGTAAGCTCAACTCAACTCAAACTCACAAGTTAAAAATTATCAAGTTCAACTCAAACTCGAAATATAATATTGAAACTTGAACTCAAAAAGGCTTGAACTCACAAAAAATTTAGAAGCTCGATTGAAGCCTAAAATTCGAGCTTGATTGAGGCTCCATGATTTTGAATGCCAAATTACCTCTATTATTTATAGAAGTTAGTTGTGATGCGCTTCTATGTTTCTTAGCAATGTGAGATTGTTTTGTTCTCATATTTTTCTCTTTAGACTTTTGGGATGCTCTTCTATGTTTCTTAGCTATGTGGGATTGTTTAAAAAAAATTAAACCAAACAATATCATTTTATTATATTTTTTTAACCCAAAATTTATTTTTTAATTATAGTTTTATAATTATATTTATTATTTAATATGTTTTACCTTAAATATTATGTTGTAGTTAATTTGAATAATTTTGTTTCACTTGATTTTATGGTTTTTAACTTATATATGTTATGATTTGCTTTGAATATGACTTGTGATATAAAAAATTATTTTTTATTAAATATTTTTAGTATTTTTGTTTAATTTTTTAAATAATTATGACGTCGTTCGATTCTTCCGATCGGTCGGATCGATTCGACCGATTAAACTAGTAAACCGATAGCATGACCGGTTCACTAACCGGTCCGATTCTGAAACCATGCCCAAAAGAATTGAGTCTATTTCTGATTTGAAAACTTATAGCTTAATAAAAGTTCAAGTTTGACTTGATTTTAAAGTTCGGCGAGTTTAAAGTTTTAAGTTCAATTTAAAATAAAAAAAATTGAAGTTTGATTCGAGTTTAAAAAAATTTAAATTTGAAATATTTTTAGCCTTAGCTCGATTGAAGCTCAAAAACTTGAACTCGAACTCAAACATGAACCTTAAGTACCTGAAAGTCCTATATATATATAGTTAAAAAATAACAAATATAAATGTTAATATTATTAATAATTTAATTTAAAAAATCTAAAAATTTAATATATTATTTTTTGAGTTATTTGCTAGCTTTTCGAGTCGGGTATTAAATAGCTCACTTCCGTTCGTTAAGAAATCGAATCGACCTCAAGCTCGAATCAAATCCATTTAATTCAAAAATTGACTGAACTTTAACCGAATCGATCTCGAGTTGCTCATGTACATCTTATCTCATTTACAACCTTGACAAATCTAATGGAAAGCGGTAAATAAAACAAGTCCACTCTTTGGGTTCTAAATAAGATTCAAATTTGATGAGATATTAAATTAATTTTATAAGATTACTTTTCTTAAAATTGGGGTTGATTCTTAAAAAAAATAGAATCATATCCAAACGTAGATGAAAAGTAATCGATTTGACCCAATATAATAATTCAATACTTATATTAAAACATTTTAAATATTAATATCAAAATAGAAATCAAATCTAAGATTTAATAACTAACCGATTATTTATTAAAATTAAAATTGATATTTAACCTCTAATTTGACAATAAACGGATGGAAGGACCCAACAATTAATTTTTGGGTTTTTAAAAATTGAATTGGATCATAGAGGCTGTCTAATTTTCTAAACCCAAAGCCCACCCAACCAAAAGAGCCGAATCCAACCTACAAGAGGAAGGGAACCATTAAACGAATTCAAAATTTCCGAGACTCAGAATTTAGAGCTGCTAGGGTTTTGAGAACAAGCGGCTGGTGTTTTCTTCTCTAATCAACTCGTTTTGTGCTTCAAGTATCTTTTTTTTTCAGGTAGATTTATGTTGCTTTTTGCTCCAAGTTCTGAGTATTTTGTTTGACTTTGTTGCTCATATGATTTTGAATTTTTTATTTGCTTCGTATGGGAATAAAAATATTGTTGTTTCTTTGGGAAAAAAATCCCAATTCTATTTGCATCATTACGAGTTACGACGTTTTGATTTTGCCCCTGTTTTTTATGACAGATTTGTGCGCTATGGGGCTGCGAATCAAAGATTTAAGCTTCTTACAACCCGAGAATGCAGCGGACGATGATGTTGACGATGAAATGGATCCTCACAGTGAGGAAGAAGAGTCTGAATCCGAGTCAGAATCGGAGCAGGAAGACGTGAAGTTGATGGAGCCGTCGAAGACGGCTGTATACAATCAAGAAGGCCTTGTCGAGAAACTCGAAGACATCAGCTGGCCGGAAAATGTCGACTGGATGCACAAGCTTTCCCTCGATGTCGATCAAGTGAAAGAGGTGGATGTGAACGATGACTTAGCGAGAGAGCTTGCTTTCTACACGCAGGCGTTGGAGGGGACGAGGCTGGCATTCGACAAGTTTCAGTCAATGGGGCTGCCATTCCTTAGGCCACCGGACTATTATGCAGAGATGGTTAAGACGGATGCTCATATGCAGAAGGTCAAGGGCAAGCTCTTGGCGCAGAAGAGACAGATTGAAGAGGCCGAAGAGAGGAGGAAAGCAAGAGAAGCCAAGAGGATTGCTAAAGAGGTTCAAGCTGAGAAGTTGAAAGAAAGAGCTAAGCAGAAGAAACAAGAGATTGAGGAAGTTAAGAAGTGGAGGAAGCAAAGGCAGCAGAGTGGCTTCAAAGACGGAAAAGATAGTATGAAGGACTTGGGTTTCGGAGAAGGTAAAGCATTCGAGAGGTCGAGCAAGAAAAGGCCTGGTGTGTCTCCGGGTGATCGATCTGGAGGGAAGGCAAAGCAAGGTGGTGGAAAGGGTAACAATAAGAATAAGAAAAACAGGGAGTTCCGGGATTCAAAGTTCGGGTTCGGAGGAAGGAAAGGTATGAAGAAGCAAAACACTGCAGAAACAACAAACGATTTTCGAACCTTAAATAAAGGCAGTGTTGCAGGAAACAAGAAAAGGAAAAGGTGATTTTACGTAGGACTTATTCTCACTTCTTCAGGGCAATTTTGTTATGCATTTGTTTAAATTTTAAGTTGTTTCATCTTTAATTATGTTTTTGATGCATCTTTAAGCTGTTTTCTTATACATTGTTTGTGTAATGGCTACATTAATTTGTTATCTTGATGCTGGAATTCAATACGATATTAACCAAAAACCGAGATCAACGACTTGAGTAACATAAGTCATACACTGCACTAGCTACCATTGGCTAGTCAATCTGAGTTTGATTTTTCCATAAATCAAAATATCATTTAGAACTTTGAATCATTCGTATACAGGGCACTTAATCAGAGGAATGTAAGAAAGACAGCATGAGAAAATACACCATACACTGCGAAGGAGTAATGATTAGAAATCCTATCTAAACCTTACAAGATGTACAATTAGGGGATGGAAACCTGTATGATCTAAACCTATTTTCCGGTTTCTCCTCGGTAAGAAGATAGTTATATTGGTTTTGGACAGCTTGTCCATATACGTATGCTATCAACTGGAAACCTTACTGTGACATACTATAGCCTTGTGATTCATCTTCGGTTGAAGATGACTTCTTGTCAATAGCAGAATTTGTATAGCCCTGGATAGGGTTCAAACTTCGAAGTACCCAAACTGCCTCCGGCGAGGTGAGAATTGGCATGACTCCACCATAGGACACCTTAACCTCTGCAGGCATTGTTGGCAAAGAGGTAGGACTCAATTGCTGCTGCAGGTTTGGCTCTCTGTTTCTTGTGGTTCTGTTCCTGCTGGTAACCTGGTAGGAAACTGCCGAGTGCCGACAACGACCTGTTCATTTGTAACCGATCGAGAAAGACAGTATTAGACAATGACAGTAATCCTTGAACACATGCCACTATTGCCCAACAGGTCAGGTGGCAGCATTCTACATCGTCCGCACATGGAAGCCTTGTGTCTAATGTAAAGTTTTTAACCATTTAATCACCTGTACAGGACCAGCAAGTCCCCCTCCGAGAACGTGACCATCAGGGTCTGCTAATGAAATACTCATCCCACAAGATCTGGTCTTCGTTACACCGTTGCTAGTAGGCATAAACAAACTGGACATGGAAAGGATCTCAAAACATCCCTGGACAAGAAAATACGGAAGCGAGATTATTATACGACAGGAAGAAGATGGAAAAGCTAGATGTTAATGGACATAGTATGTCAGAGTACCGCCGGATGAAGTAGGATGACGAAGTGTTACATTTGAAATCGTTCCGTTTGTAGAGAGGATGCAGATAGCTTGAGCTCCTTGGCGAGAAAGAGACATCACCTTCATTGTAACATTCTAATAACAATCACAGCAAAAGCATATCAATCACCCGTAACAATACCATCAACAAAAAAGAAACTGGATATGTTACTAGGGCATACCGGTATTAACAGTGATTCATATGAGGTGCGAAATTCGCCCCAAAGAAATATTCAAATCTAAAATAATTTCAATTTCTTTTATATTTTGTTTATTAATATAATAAATAGTGAACTTCCAATGATAAAACACAATGTATTTATATATTAATATAATAATTTAGTTTAAATTTTCAATGGTAAAACACAATGTAATTTTCAAGAAAGAATCTATATTCGAATTTGAAAAATTATATTATTAAAATAATTAATCACGAAGCTGGAAAAATGAAGAGAATATTATATATACATTGTTGATTTTGTTCATATGATTACACAAACAATAATTACATGCAAGAGTATAAATAGAACGACTAGCTATCATTTTCACTCTTTTCATATCTCTCACTGAACTGAATATATTACATTTTTATATTACAGAAGCACAATTATATAGAACGTTTCAGATTTAAACACATACCAATCTTACAACGACGAGCATCAATCGCCCTCGAATTCTCTTCTTATGTTTCGAGCAGGAGTTCATTTCTCTAGTGAAAGCAATCTTGAGGGCAAAAGTATATCGAACCGGATGTCAATTAAAAACATTAACATATGTACGATTGTGTGTACTATCATCCACGTCTTTTTATGTAGATTTTTAGGCTGTAAAGATGATGTACCCTTCATTTACAAGAAAAGACTCACTCTAAACAATATATTATATACTATATGATACAAAGTCAAAGAGACGGAGTTGACCATGAACCCATGGATCGTAGAGCTGGCTAGATATTGGTCTATTAAATAAATGATGCATTGTCCCATTAACATTTGCAATCTAAAATCTAATTCCTACACTTTCGACACCTAAGTATTTGGTTCACTGCACAGCTATCTTATGAGTAAAAGGAATAAGGTCCTAAAACTTTTTGGTTTAAATTCATTTTAAGTCCTTTATACTTTTATTTTTTTTAAATAAAAATCGAGTTTTGTTATATTGAATGATTTGGGTCCAATTATTTATAAGATCTCTTAGTTTTGAAATTAGAAAAAAATTATTTAGCGATTAAGACAACAATTCTTGGTGATCAAATTTGTTTTCTATTTAGAATTTAAAGTTACAAGAGTGAATTATTTTGGAGAGATATGATGTTTTTTGTGATTTCATGGACTTTTGTGGTGCCCGTTGCCGAGATGTTTTTGTATGTTCTTTGAATGAGTTTTTTTTTATACATCGGGTTCTGGAATACAAAGTGAATTTCATGTATTTGTGCGATTTGTAATTGTTATTTCTTTTGTTCATGAAGATAGACAAAATTATATCATATTAAATTTTTATGTCTTACTAACGATGATATCATATATTTACATTTTTGTTTATAAATTCTTAACATTATGTTTAATAAGACGATTATTTGATATTATATAATTATATTTTAATCTAAAATAATTGAGTATAAATATATTCGAATCTACAATCCCTTGATAGATTAAATTAATATTATTTCTAATGAGGACAAAATGGATCGAATTTAAAATAAACTTGGGTTAATTTGGATGGATCTAAATGTTGGGATTTAGCCACTGATAGAGTGACAAATGTGAATATGTTAAATGATAAAAATGGGGAGGCTGCTGTTCCCAACAATCCTCGAAAGAGTTATCCCTGGAAACAAACAAACAAAACATCACGTGTCTTTTTGTCCATTCTTAATATTTCCAAACTCCAAAATATAATTAATTAATTAAATCGTGTATAATTTATCATTTAGATTTTCTTAATAATAATAATCATTAGTTTTAACATTAATCTTCCACGCTCTTTTACAGCCACTGCAGTTTAAACTCGAAAAAGACAAACAAAATCTCAGACGCACCATTTATCACGCGCTCTCAAGGCCTGTAGCTGTAAATTAACTCCCTTCTGGTCTCTAAGCTTAAAGCTCTTCTTTGATTTTTTAATTTATTTAAAGAAAAAATTAGACCTGTTTTGCTATCTGTATAAGTGATTCAGCATCCAGTGATCTGCAAATATTTCAAAGCTTTCACTCTCTCCATTAACCTTCATCTCTGCAAATCCTCTCTTAAAACAATATCTTCAAAAGGGTCATCTTGTTTATCATTTCTTTCAATTCTATCCATTTTTCCTTTCAAATGGCGCTTGAAACATGGCTGACAAAAGTGAGAAAAACCATATCCAACACCCTGGACGCTGCAAAATCTTCAAGACATAAATCCAACGTTGGAGTTTTATCCTTTGAAATCGCCGGCCTCATGTCAAAGCTTCTCCATCTATGAAACTCACTTTCAGACGAGACCATAATTCGCCTCCGAAACGAATCGATATCGGTCGAAGGAATCGCCAAGATCGTCTCCGACGACGAGTCTTTCTTACTGGGGTTAGCCTGTGCCGAAATTGCAGAAAACGTCAGGCTGGCAGCCAAGTCTGTTTCCAGGATAAGCAGCCGGTGCCACGACACCAAGCTCCGATGTTTCGATCGGTGGTTTGACGAGTTCGCCGACTCACGATTTTCAATGCTGGGTTTTGAGTAAGACATGGAAGCTAGGAACAAGAAGATGAAAAAGCTGATCACCGTTACTGCATGTCCGTGTAAACAAATGGAGGAATTGTCCATAACGGAGAACAGCTTGAGAAAGTACTGTTGTGATTCGATCAAAGAGCAAAAGCTTATCGATCTACTGCAAAAGCTCTTATGGCAAAAACAAGAGGTTAAATGTTTGAAAGAGAATTCCTTATGGAACAAAAGCTTTGACATGGTTGCTTCCATGCTGGTCAGATCGGTTTTCACTATTCTGCAAAGGGTCAAGCTTGTTTTTGGCCTCGGGCTCCGCCATGGCTATTTTTCATCGTCTTTGCCTCGAAGCCTTTCGGCTTCTGCAACTGTTTACCCCACTGTAAACCCGAACACTTACAACTTCGTATCAGGACCCCTGAAGGGTGGTCGCAAAATTATTTTTTTCAAGTCAAATTCGAAGTTCCTAAAGCCTCCTCCGAGTACATTAGGCACATCGGCATTATCGTTACATTATGCAAATCTAATAATCGTGTTAGAGAGAATGATAAAGTCACCCAAGTTGGTTGGCATCGAAGCAATAGATAATCTTTATTCGATGCTTCCGAGCAGTATCCGGTCATCGTTGAGGGCGAGGCTGAAAGGAGTTGGGTTCACGGCGAATGATCCGGTGCTTGCAGGTGAATAGAGAGTGGCTGTGGGAAGGATATTGAGCTGGTTGTCGCCATTGGCACACAACATGATCAAATGGCAAAGTGAAAGGAGCTTGGAGCACCAGAATTGGTTGCCCAGAACAAATGTTCTGCTTCTACAAACACTTTTCTTTGCGAATAAACAGAAGACTGAAGCTGCCATTACTGAGTTGCTGGTGGGTTTGAATTATATTTGGAGATTCGAAAGGGAAATGACAGCCAAGGTGTTGTTCGAAAGCGGTTTGCAGAGTTCAAGTTAAGGATAAATTCTAGACCATTGATCTGTTTATTGTATGATAGTATTAGATGTATGTAAATGGCATGAATTGGATGGGAAATTTCAGCCGCATGATCTTTCACTTGTTACTTGTATACATAACCATGTGAAATTACTCCTCTTGTTTTAAACATAGACATATTTTGTTTGTTGTTGCCATCAGAACCAAACCAATGAAGCCAGACTCATTAACTTATAAATTAGTTTAATTATTATGATTACTGACGTTTATTGATTATTTTTAAATTCAATTGACATTATTAATATCACACAATAATTTAAAGACTGTAAATTCGAACATGATTACCATTCAATTGTATGGATGAGTTCGTTGCAAAGAGTGCCAAAATAAATTAAAATAAAAGTTCGAAGTGCCAAATCTAGAAAACGAAAATAGTTTAGGATCATAAAAAAACTTTATTTTTAGGGATGGACCGAAATGGAATGAAATAAGATATTAAAAATTTCAAATTATTATATATTTTAAATTATTTTGTAATTTTTTATATTGATAATATGTTTTCGTCAAATCAATAGTTGAGTGTGGACAAAAGGATACCTGCCCAAGATCTCCTCGTGCCTATGGCCCAAAATTATAAAGTCCATACATAATTAAAAATGATAAATTATCTATTTAATCATTTACCTATTATTATTTTAATCTAATTATTCATTTTAAAATATTACACTTAACGTTATATTTTATTTCTTTTTTATTGTCGATCATTACAAAATTAACAGCGATACTGATTTGATATTTTTAAATTATTCTTTTACTTACTATTTTTTTTTACAAGTTGTAAAATGTTGAAATCAAACTTGGTCCCTCTTAGAAAAAGAGCCATACTTGTTTTGCGTGATTAGTTATGTGTTTAATAATTTTTTTATGTTTTCTATTTAAACTTTGATGTATTTATTAGATAGTTTATTAAAAATAATAAAAAATGATTTACAAGCAAATTTACTTATTTTTTTGGATAAGTAGAATTTCATTTATCCAAAAGAATACAGCCAAGCTGCTACAAACAAAAACAAGACACTATATCAGTCCCCAATCTATACATTACCTATTTACAATATCAATTCTATTCATGGGGCTCCTATACAATTTAATTCACACAGATTCTTTAACACAACTAACAATAGTTTCAACCGAGCAATACACCCCTCTAAACTGCCTACGATTCCGCTCCTCCCAAATACAATAGATAAAACCAATCCAGGCCAACATGAGCATATGCACCATTAAGGATTTGCCTTTAAGATTCAGCAACAACCATTGCAAAAGATCATTCCATCCAAGAGACGTCTGGTTAAGGCCACATAGAAGCAATATAGCACACCAAGTTTCATTTGCAAAAGTACACTCAGAGAATATATGATTACGGGTTTCCAGACCAGAACTACACAGTCCACAAACACCATCTGTAGCTATACCAAATCTAGCTAATCTGTCATTTGTAGGCAATCTATCCAAGATTGCCATCCATGTAATCAGTGAAAATTTTGGAACGAGACCAGGGAACCATACAAGGCAATGCCAGCAAACCTTTTCACCCCTAATTCGAATCCTATCCCATATCCAGCTGGCTTTGATTTGATCCCAATTACTATTGGAGCAGAATAGGCTCGCAGCTTCATTCCTCATCTTAAGCAACCTTGCTATGATCCAGCTAAAATGTGCCTTGTATTCAACATTCCATAAATCAACAGTTCTGAAACAGTAGGCATTTATCCAAGCAATCCAGAGAGAACCATCACCTGCCAAGATTTTCTTGATAAGTAGAAGGCAGCAAGCTTTACTCCAGTTTGTCAAACTTCTCAACCCCAAACCTCCCTCAGATTTCAAGGAGCAGATCTGGTTCTAGCTGACCTGGGCATCTCTAGCTGAGGAATCACAGCCTTTCCAAAAGAATCTCATACACAATCTTTCCACATCTCTTATGACCCTTTTAGGCAAAATGAGTTGCCTACTCTAGTAGCTAAAGACACTAAATATGACAGATTTGATGAGCTGAAGCCTGCCCCCATAGCTCAGCTTCTTATCAGACCATTTGCCAAGTTTCTCTTTAATCTTAGTCAACAGAGCAGAGCAGTCCTTACCAGAAAGCTTTCTAGTGACCAGAGGTACCCCAAGGTACTTAACAAGAAGCATACCTACTTTAAATCCAGTACCAGATTGAATTAGCTGGAGAACAGGGTCAGTTAAGCCACAAGCAAAGAGCTCAGTTTTCTGGGCATTAAGCCTAAGACCAGATAGATCATAGAAAGCCTCTAGAGTACTTAAAACACCCAACACAGAGTCCAAAGAGCCATGGCAGAACACCAAAAGGTCATCAGCAAAGCATAGATGTGTAAGAGAAACCCTCTTACACTTAGGGTGATATCTAAAAATTCCCTTTTTTGCAGAAGCATCCAACAAAGAAGAAAGAACATTCATAACCAAGACAAAGAGATAAGGGGATAGTGGGTCTCCCTGCCTAACCCCCTAGCTCCCTTAAAGAAACCCACAAGACTACCATTCAAGGAAACTAAAAATTAAGATGAAGTAACACAAGCCCTTATCCAACAACATAATTTCAAAGGTAAACAATAGCCTCAAGTACAACCATAAAAAAATTCCAATCCACAGAGTCAAATGCCTTTTGCAAGTCAATCTTAATGGCACATCTAGGAGAAAGACTCTTCCTAGAATAACCTTTGACTATTTACTGAGCTAGTAAGGTATTATCAACAATGTTCCTACCCTTTACAAAAGCAGTCTGACTAGGAGAGATCATACAAGGAAAAATAAGAGACAATCTAGTAGTGATGATTCTAGTGATGGTTTTGTACACTACATTGCAACAAGAAATGGGTCTGAAATCCTTGGCCATACAAGCATTCAGAGCCTTAGGGACTAAAACTATAGTTGTTGCATTAAATGCTGGCAGCAAGGAAGAGGAAAGAAAGAAGAACCTTATTGCAGCTAAGAAGTCACAACCCACCATATCCCAGGCAACCTTGAAAAACCAAGAAGAGTACCCATCAGGGCCAGGGCTTTTACCATTGCCTTGTCTGAATAAGGCTTCCTTAATTTCCTTGTCCTCCACCTCCTTAGTAAGCATAACTTCAGTACCATCAGGAAAAGAGAAGTTCAACAAATCCTTCAGACACTCCATAGGGGGCTTTTAATCATTGGATCTGCAATACCAATGAGATTAGTGAAGAAGCTCACCAACTCATCGGCCATGTCATCAAAAGAGTCCAAGAACTGTCCATTTTGAGTTACTAAAACCTTGATAGTATTTTTCTTTTTATTTGATTCAATTCTTTGATGAAAAAACTTACTGTTAAGATCACATTCTTTTAACCAATGCACCTTAGCCCTCTGTCTATAGAATTCAGATTCTACAACCTCCAAATCAACCAATTCAGCATGGATCCTCCTCCCCTCCTCAATGTTCCTCTGATCAGTATGACTTAGGTTGATCAATTGAATTCTTTCCAAGTCAGCTCTTTTACTAAGTACCCTGTTTAAAATATCAGAAAACTGCTCCTTGTTGAGATTATTCAATTTAGGCTTTAGTCTTTTTAGTTTTAGGAATAACCTTTGCATAGGGTTCCCACACATTGCTCCATCCAAGACTCTTTGATAATACCCAGAAAATCAGCACTTGAGGGCCAGCAGTTGAAAATTTTGAAAGGTTTAGGCCTCCTAGCCAAGACACCCCTCTGAGTCCAAATCACACCAGGACAGTGATAAGGAACACTCTGTGCCTTAAATTCTACAAACGAATCAGGGTAAACAGACAGCCAAGGATGGTTGACCAAAATTCTGCCTAACTTACGAGCTAAGAAACCATCATCCTGCCTATTAGACCAGGTGAAAGAAGAACCTAAGAATGGGTGATCTAAGAGGTCCAGGTCCTCCAAACAGCCTTGAAAATCCTCCATATCAGGAGAATTATGAACACCGAGAATCTCAAAGTCAGAGCTCTCATCAGCTCGAAGGATAACATTAAAATCCCTCCAACCACCCATGGAGACGAACCAACCTCACTATCCAAATCCTTTAAATGATCCCAAAGCCCTCTCTTGGCAACCCTACTGTTACTGCCATAAACAGCAGTGATCAAAGTCCTGTGGCCATTAACAACTCCAACAATAGTTAGAGTCTGGTCATTAGCCCTCAAGGCAGAGAATGCCCATTGTTTCCTCTACATAACCTATATTCTACCTCCCTCAGAATAAGCATAGTTATCTATCATAGTCCATTCATCAGAAAAAGCAGAATAGAACTTATCAGCATTGATTCTTCTAATTTTAGTTTCTAAAAGACACACAATATCAGCTCCCAGGTTAACCAATCTGCTCAGTACCTTATGTTGTTTAAGAGGGTTATTAATCCCTCTTACATTTCAAAAGCATACCAATATCAATTAACAACAGGGCTATCTCCAACCCCAACCCCCGCATTCACACTTCCTTTGGCTTTATCCACCAAATCTCTCTTCTTAGATTTAATTTTATTGAGTAGGACAGTAACCCCCATAGAAGACATCCTAGCCTTCCTTTGTCCATCAACAACACCTCCACCAGCCAACACATCAAGTTTACTGGATGAGCTAGTATTCTCTTTTTTCCTACCTCTAACCTTTTTTTTTGGACCATAGAATCCTGCAGAGTGGGAAAATCAGGACTAACATCCTCTTGTAAAGCTTTATGAGCAACTTCCTTAACTAAGGTAGAATTAGGCAAACAATCAAAATCATCAGCAGCTTTATGAACTACTTCCTCAGCTAGAATAGAGCTATGCAAACAAACAGAATCAACAACAACAACATCCAAATTCACAGCAATATCACACATCACCCTACTAGAGTCCTGTATGATAGTACTAGATTTTTCAACCTCCTGAACTTGGCCAACGTGTACCTCTTACAAGGCTGACACAGAAGTTTCCTCAGCCATACTAACAACCAATTCAGGACTAGAACAGTCAACATCAACAACAAGAATGGCGTTACCTGAGGATCCAAAAGGCAAAATGGAACTCATATGAGGAGAGCTCAAATTCAAACCTGAATCCATCTTCTGCTTATCACAAGGAGTAGAAATAGCAGTGCCCTTTTTCCTCCAGACTTGAACCTCCTGCTTTAGTGCAAGATTCTGCCTCGCAACACACCTACTGGCCAGGTGACCAAAAGTTTTACAAATAAAGCAAGCCCTTGGTAACCATGGGATAAAAACACCAACCCTCACCATTTATCCATCCTTAAGAACTACATAGACCTCATTTGGTATCACAGACCCCACAGAAATTTCAATACAAACTTTTGCATACTCTAATCTCCTCTAGAAGCAGTACTGGAATCCATGTATAATGGATTGCCTAGGGCACTAGAGATATAGCTAAGGCCACTTCTAGAGTACAATTCCAAAGGTACATTATAGAGATGAACCCATACAGGTATATGAGAGAGATCGAAATCAAGTCTCTGCAAACAAGGTTCTGTCCGCTGTTTGTGAGTACTATAAATGGTGCGGATATGTGTGCAAGTATACACAATAGAACAAGTAATAAAGTGATGAGTGAGTATCGTTCTCCATAGGGATTGGGGGAAATCAAATAAGTTTGTCACGACACTTTACTCTGTCACCTAAATAAAGTTAGAGATGGTATATATATAAATGATGATGCTGTGGCAGAATGAATGGATGATATGGAAATGGAACGATGGCAATGTGGTAGCAGATGAATATGTTGTGGTAAAATGGATTGTGTGTAGTGCGATCAAATAAAAATGTAAAGGAAAAATAAACTGTAAATACTGGATTTGCTTATAAGAACTTTAGACTCCTCACACAACAAGCTACTATGGGAATGAGTGATAGGAGTCACTTAGGAAAATCTAAGTTTACTTCTTAGAATGGTCTTACTTCTATGTCTTAATTGCCGACAGAGTTTACTAAGGGTGCCTTATGCTATCTCTAGTTAAAGGACTCGACAGATTGAAGATGCCTTGGCAAAATCGATTGGCGTTAGCTATTGCAGGGACCCTATTTATCCAGATAACAGGATATGTCTCGGCAATACCTTTTTGCGGCAACATTAACATCTAACCTATCGCTCATGCACAACTCCTTTTAGTCGAATGAAATCCTAGCCTTATCTCTAAGGTGGATTAGACCTAGTTACTATCTAGAACCTCTTGCTTATGTGGTTCCTCCCTAGTTTCTCTCGAATACTAAGGATGTGCTACTTAGATATTCTCTCGAACACTTAGTAATCTCATAAGGAATGACTACTCTCATAGCTCCTACAACCTTAAGGCATTAAGATCCATAAAAAAACAATTAATAACATAGAAAAACAATCATTCATTAAAGCAAAACTTAAATATCCAAAATGAACTCCCACCAAATAGGATTAGTTCATGGTGGGGTTTGAAATAAACAAGCACAAAGCAAGTTAATCCATTCCTTACAACCCGAATAATAAATAACGAAAGCAAAGAGCAAAGGGAAAGAGGAAAAACCTTCGACGTGCACAGCCGGAGCTTCCCTCAGACACCACGAACAGTCCTAGCGATCTAGCTCCTCTCGGACACCTAGAACGGCACTCTTTCTAGCCTGTCAACGGAGGAATGCCACGGCAAATCGGATTGACGGAGAACTTTTTCTCTGAATTTTTAGGCTTTTGGAGGCTGTCTAAAAATCTCTCCAAGTCCCCTCAAAAGTCAGGCTTCTTCTTCTATTTATAGGGGAGAATGAACCTAGGGTTTTGTGTTAAAATTACCCTTGCACCCTAAAGTTCATTCCTTTTATGCGAGAGTTGGTGTAAAGATGGTAACTGGCCCCCCTTTAATGCTGATTGCAAAAAGCACTTTTTATGCCATGACAGATGGCTCTTACTAAAAATATATTCTTTGACTTTTTCTGCCCAGAAATGTCGTCCGAGATGTCGCGGCAATCGCATTTTGCTCAGTAGTCTCCTTATGTCATGGCATTTCCCTTTTCTTTTCCTTGCTCCCAAATCCTACACATAATTAAACAAAACACCTTCCCCATAATACAACACTGATTACAAAATAAAATACCGCGACAAACAAAATTTCACCACATGCAACTATATGCTCCTAAATGCATCTATATGATCCTAAATGGGCTTTTAGAAAATCAATAACTTAAGTGAAAAGGTCCCAAATATGACCTTTTAACGGATTTATCACACCCCCAAACTTAAGTTATTGCTTGTCCTCAAGCAATGGATAGTATTAAGCAAAATAAAAATACCCTGGCAAGTTCAGAAGCAGAATAGTTATATGGTATAGAATTTCAGCCCTCAGAACATTTGGCTTCAACATGTTAGACTAGTTTGAGAAATCAAGTACTGTCCCCTAGGGCAAGATTCTTTGTGTGGGTGTGTGCGTGTTTGTATCCAGTCCATGCTTAACA